CGCTGTAGGCAGTTAACCAAAAACCAAGGCAAACGTAATTATGAAAACTGTGGCAGTGTTGCTTCAATTTTTTTTTAAGATTTGAAAGAACAAACATTAAACATTCGTATATTGTACATTTATGTTCATTAAATGAATTGATTATTAAGGCAAATTAATTAATATTTCATCAAGGTTTTCAAAAGCAACTCATATATCAATGTAAATGACCCCCATCTTCACCCCAAGTGCATGATGTTACTTCATACCAAGTTTGGAATAAAATGACAGGTGATTATAAAACAGTTGGTCAAACATTCTCGGACTTTACACTGCTTGAAAGATTTGTATGTTTTCTTTAAAATGAGCCATAAATGAAAATTATTATAGGCCCAGAAATAATTTAATAAATAATTAAAGTAAATTAAATAAACCTAGACTCTTTTTTTGCATCAATAAAATTTTGTAATAAACAAGAAATAATTGTAACAGGATGCCATTACGAGGTCTCCGTAACAAAGCCCCCATAATTCGTCATTCCCATGGTCTCCTGGCATTGGGCAAAGTCAAGTTCATATTGGTTTGGTCTAGTATAGTGATATGCATATGTGACACCTAAGAGATTGACCCTGTATGTCATTCAAATCTTTTTGATATGATGAACAGGAGTAAATATGGTTTAGGTGTGGGTATCTCGACCATTTACAAGTTCTCAAACAGGAGGGGGTGGGGTGACCCCAGGGACTCCCTTATATTTCATTTGATTTGTTATATTGTCCCATACATGAATACATATGGTTTACTGGTGGGGATCTCGACCATTTCCAAGTTCTCAAACAGGAGTGGTTGGGGTGACCCCAGGGAGTCCCCTATATTTCATTTGTATTTGTTATATTGTCCCATACATGAATATATATGATTTAGGGGTGGGGATCTTGACTGTTTACAAGTTCTCAAACAAGAGGGGGTTGGGTGTCCCCATGGACTCCCCCTATATTTCATTTGATTTGTTTTATTGTCCCATACATAAATATATATGGTTTAGGGGTGGGGATCTCGACCATTTCCAAGTTCTTAAACAGGAGGGGTGGGGTGACCCGAGGAACTCCCAATATATTTCATTTCATTTGTTATATTGTCCCATACATGAATATATATGATTTAGGGGTGGGGATCTTGACTTTTTACAAGTTCTCAAACAGGAGGGGGTGGGGTGTCCCCAGGGACTCCCCCTATATTTCATTTGATTTGTTTTATTGTCCCATACATGAATGTATATGGTTTAGGGGTGGGGATCTCAACCATTTCCAAGTTCTCAAACAGGAGGGGTTGGGGTGACCCCAGGGACTCCCCATATATTTCATTTGATTTGTTATATTGTCCCATACATGAATATATATGGTTTAGGGGTGGGGATCTCAAAATTTTTCAAAACATCCCATCAACGTCGATTTCCGCATCTGTTTCCTGACCTCGTTTCATTCATAAAATAACAACAACCTTATTTGGCAAGATAAGTTAAAAATTACCGCCCTCTTATATAACTTTATTTCCTCTATCATAGAGATTTGTTTTACATGAACAATATTCCTGCTCATTTTGCCATTTGGGAAATATAAACGACTTGTAATTACCAATTTTCGGCGATGAAATATTTCATACAATTGTTCTTTGACATCGTAGCCAAAAGCACAGGGGATAATAAACTACGTACGGATTTCTATTGAGTACTACTTCCTATGTGCAACTTCAAAAGTTTTGGGTAGTTCGACGATCATTTAAGTTTTTTCTGGTCATATTTTTTGTATTCCAGAAATAAAAGTATTAAACAAAATGCCCAATTAGTTATAAATAACCAAAATAGCCAGCTAGATGATAACAATGGCACGTATTTCAGCATTTATTAGGTAGAACACAAATCTAGGGTGCTCGCATAAGGCAGCTTAACTGCCTAAAAACCGCAATTTTCATACGTGTGTATGCAAAACAAATTTCTTGGTAGAGGGGTCTAAATACAGCACAAACAACATTTTCCAAAAGACCAAAAAAGTGAAAAAGTATATTTTATAAAACGCATTTGACTAGCAGGTCGAACAACTGATGTTCTTAAACCCTGCTGACTGCCATTGGCGATTGCCAAATAAACGGATCACCAGATGTAACAAAATGGATCTTATTATTAATTTATTTATCAAACAGAAAACAATAAACTTGCGGAAAAGATTGGAATACCGCAAACATGAGGTGCAAAAATTTGTACACCATATCCGGATTTCGACAATTAATGTCTCTTCAGTGATGTTAGGAATCGAAACGGTATTTGGAAGGCCATATAATTTACCTCAATTTAGGATAGACTCTTGAATTTTGAAAGAGTCGAAATAGGATGAACGAATCATATGAACCCGAAGGCAAATATAATACAAGCCCAAACGAAAAGATATAAACAAGTCTAAATTGAAAACAACGTTCAAACCTATGATTGCGTTGGATAAAAACCGCAATTTTTATACGTGTGCATGCAAAACAAATTTCTTGGCAGAGGGGTCTAAATACAGCACAAACAACATTTTCCAAAAGACCAAAAAAGTGAAAAAGTATATTTTAACAAAACGCATTTGACTAGCAGGTCGACCAACTGATGTTCTTAAACCCTGCTGACTGTCATTGGCGATTTCCAAATAAACGGATCACCAGATGTAACAAAATGGATCTTATAATTAATTTATTTACCAAACAGAAAACAATAAACTTGCGGAAAAGATTGGAATACCGCAAACATAAGGTGCAAAAAGTTGTACACCATATCCGGATTTTGACAATTAATGTCTCTTCAGTGATGTTAGGAATCGAAACGGTATTTGGAAGGCCATATAATTTACCTCAATTTAGGATAGACTCTTGAATTTTGAAAGAGTCGAAATAGGATGACGAATCATATAAACCCGAAGGCAAATATAATACAAGCCCAAACGAAAAGATATAAACAAGTCTATATTGAAAACAACGTTCAAACCTATGATTGCGTTGGATAAAAACCGCAATTTTTATACGTGTTCATGCAAAACAAATTTCTTGGTAGAGGGGTCTAAATACATCACAAACAACATTTTCCAAAAGACCAAAAAAGTGAAAAAGTATATTTTAACAAAACGCATTTGACTAGCAGGTCGACCAACTGATGTTCTTAAACCCTGTTGCCTGCCATTGGCGATTGCCAAATAAACGGATCACCAGATGTAACAAAATGGATCTTATAATTAATTTATTTACCAAACAGAAAACAATAAATTTGCGGAAAAGATTGGAATACCGCAAACATGAGGTGCAAAAATTTGTTCACCAAATGTATAAATAAACATCAAAATTTGAATTATACATTGTATTTGTAACCTTTTTCTTGTCTTTGTTTTGTTATGCCAAAAAACAAATTCTCTTTAATCAACTTTTAATCGCTAAGCTTTTTAGAAAAGCAAATACTTTGCAGCTTTTTAGAAAGCTGTTACATTGTAACGCTTTGTTATCTACAATGGACGCTAGCCATTATTGAAACGGACGTCTACTAATTGACTGGTTGGTTGATTGATTGATTGATTGATTGGTGTTTAACGCCACTTTCAGCCTTTTTGGCTATTTTGTGACGGTCCGTCTTTTAGTGGGGAGGAAGCAGGATTGCCCGGAGACAACCACTGACAATCCTTGTCAATTAATAGCAAGCCACGTGCGGGGTTCTCAAAGGGTTCGAATTCAAAACCTCAGTGTTGACAGGCTAGTGGTCCAGTAGTTGAACTACTTAGACTACACGGCCACTGATGCCCGTACGATTGCTAATCAACTAATGCACCACCCCAATGCATCATCCTCCTTGTTGATTAGATGCCAAATATAAATGTGAGATTCGGGGGTGCGATGGGGACGCTGATGTGCGATGGTCACGCTGAAGTGCGATGGTTTTCGCCGAAGTGTGATGGTCCTTTCGCTGATGTGTGATGGTCAATATGAAAGCGTGATGGCTAGTTTAAAATCTACAGATGTGCAATTTAATGAGAAGTAAATTTTTTATTAGTTAATATATAAATTTGCACTCATTATTGTTTATAAAACATTTATTGCATTTCGGTATCGATGATATGTATGGGTATGGTTGAAATAAAAGAATCGTTAAATGAATGATTATCCTGCAATTATTATAAGCATGTTACAATATACTTTATACGGTGTTTGCAACATTCGAAATTTAAAAATATATTTCATTATATGAATGTGCTTATAGGCTTATAGTTACAGTTTCATTCTCTTTAATTTTGCTGCATGTAGACATAATTCTGTGTTTATATTTTATCTTTACTTTTGTCCTCTCATGAGTCTTTTCACGGGAAATGCAATGACTGTCTATTCATCATTGCTGCTTTATATTAAACGGATATTCTCGATTCTTTACTTAAAAACATAAAAAAACTGCTTAGACTACATCGGTATGTGAACATGAAAAACTTTAAAAATATAATTGATGTAATCCATCGTAATCCATCGCACTTCAGCATTACCACAAACGCATTTCGGCGTAGCTATCAATAAGATAGCGTCATAATACCACCATCGCATTTTAGCGTGATCAAATATGCATTTCAGCGTGACCATCGCGGTTCAGAGTCCTACACATATCTTGACATTAAAAAGATATTCTAAAACACGATGTAGAAAATTGTAAAATATGTATAAATTAATTTTACAATGACTAGTGTGTTTGGCTTTCCAGTCTTATGTTTTCGAGCATACTAGAAGAAGTTTGTAGCGGAAACACATGGTGAGTGTTCACTCACGACCAATTTTTAGATTCTGAAATTTTTCTATGAAAGATGAAAAAGTGTCGAGTTCTAAATATACTGTTATAAATCAAATTTAAAGTCGATGTTAAGTCTTAGAAAACGTCCCTTATAAATCCGCAATACTGGTTAGATGCATTTTGATTTGATTGGATCTTTTAAAGATATAAGAACTAAAATATTCAAACCACTTACTTGTTCTGTGTTATACAGCTACGAGCAAAGTGATAAATTTCCAGAACACAACACGTTTTATTAGAGTTTGTGTAATTGATACTGCTTATTAATTGATGATAAAAATCATGTCAATTATCCTTGCTACATATACATTTTAATCAGATAATAAACTCGGTTTGTTTGATGAACTATAATTTTTTGTTCAAATCCTGCAAATGCCAGCTGTGGTAAATTGTACAATGGGAATATTGATGGAGTAGTAGGACGTTTAACATCATCAATAATTCAATGCGTTATTTTAAAATAACTATTTACATTTTTGAGATATGCACAAACATTACTCACACTTTCTCTTTTATCTAATTTGTTGTGTTAATATTTTTTGTCATAATAAAATCAAAATCATACCTGAAAGTTGCATAACGTAAATGCTTGAAAAGGGGACGGTCATCATTTGTGAATAAACCCGTGTATTAATGAACTATTTTCATAATACTGACTTTTATCTCCGGATTATATAATTTTTCGACAGGTAACCTTCTCTATGGTAGGACATCCTGGTACTCTGTCAAGTAAGAGCGACCAAAAGAAGTAAAATCAAACATATAATCGGTGCAATTGGGGGAAAAATTAACTGTTTTCTAATGATTTTGTTTAGAAAACATAAAACAATTAATTTTCTGTCAAATTTTGTACCGATTGTAAGCTTGATTTTTCTTCTTTAAGTTGCTCTTACTTGACCAAGTACCAGGATGTCCTACTGCAGAAAAGGTAACCTGTAGAAAATATATAAACTCCAGAGAGAGAAGTCTGTAATATGAAAATAGTCTATTACACAATTTAAAACAACAGGCATAATCTATATCAGCTTTAAATCTTTTAAAAATGCTTGCTATTTTTAGTGTATCAATAGAATTATTCCAAGCTATAATTTTTTTTTCAATACAAGGATTGTTCGAGTGTTGTTTTTTTTTTTAGTAAAAGCAAGACTGACGTAAACAAGAGGAAGAAAATTATTCAGATATACCTATAACTAATTAATCAAAGACTGAAAAGACGAGAGACATTCAAGTCCTTATTTAGCCTAAAAATTAAGTATTACTAAATAATGTTAATTTTGCATTAAGAGGAATTTATTAGTGTATACAAAGTCTCCTGTAAGTTTTTCTTGTTCTTTCTAGTTGTGGCATTATTTTTTTAGTCTTATGCAAGAATGGTTAGTTCATCCTCAAACGCTTCGAATCCAAACTCTTGTAAGAATCACAGAGAAAGATAACATTCTTGTGAGATTTCTAATAGATTGTGTCAGCATTCTGGCTAACTAATTAAAGATCTAGTGAATCTTTCCAAAAATTCCCGGAAAGAACATCAAGAACTGAAACAGAGATAAACAATTATTCTAAAAGAAAACGAAAATTTAAACCTGTCAGTTTATGTGGCTGGAAGATAGCAATTCGTTAATATATATGGAACAGAATCCGATCTTAAAAATATAACTTGCGGTGATCCTTTGTGTCCTTTGCCTATTTACATTACGACAACGATTTGTCTATTAGTATTGAACTGAGTGTAGACTATTACTTTTTACATGTACCAATGGTAATGCCGTCATATTTTTGCATAAAGACCCCACAATTCGACAAATAGATGGAGTTCTGCAGTCACACGTAACATTGGCGTTTGGACAACAAACTATCTTTATATGTTTATTTTCTGTATATTTACTGATTACATATAAAATTTTAATCTATTCGAACACTTATGTTTTTACCCCTAGGCAGAAATTGTCGTAGTTGTATTTGGCACAACTTTTTGGAATGTTTGGTTCTTAATGCTCTTATAATAATCCTTCAAAAGGAAGTATAGCTACATCCAAACACATTTGAAAGTTAAAGAGTTTCAAGGGTCATCATTGGGATGATATAAATGCTGTAACTGCTTTTTAATAACTGCATGCTCTTTTTATGTGTCATTTCTTTAAAACGTTTTCATCGACACCTGATCATTTGATATCTTACATTAGTGTGTTTTAGCTTTTATCTTTACCCGTTAACATTTTTAAGGTGATACGAAATTCCATGAATTATGCTCCTTATCATAGTTACCTTGATACAGGGTTGCTGCGTACAGAAAGCTTCTGAAAGGAGGGTCTTAATGGTAGAGTTCAAGTATTGTCTCTAAAAAAGTTTGAGATATGCCATTATGACGGAGTTGTTTGCAATTGGCTGTTATTGAATATGTGGTACTTTCCATTTTTCGTATCGTCCCGTCCTACCTCTTATGACATCACCAGATTCGAAACAGATAGCAAGTCCTTTGGAAATAAGTTAGCATCAGATTGTATCGAGGAAAATGCTGTCTTCAAAAGCTTTTCGATAATGATCTTTACAAATTAAGAACTTCTTCAGACAAAGTTTACCGTAGATGAATTTGGCCACATTTCTAAACATCCCTAGCTTTCAAATGGTTTGGTTTGAGCATTCATGATGCAAGTTAATCCTGAAAAAATGACTCGCCTTAATTCCCGATTTACAATTCATATTATTGTATATTTGTTTTTACTTGGGTTATCTGGATTATGGTAATATTAAACTCAGTCTGGTAAATTTTGCTTTAAATTTTATAGATCAGATCTTTATGCAGTCTAAAAATTTCAAGTTTCGCATCTCTTGTTTTCGGTAAATATACACAATTAATTTAAGAATCGATATCGTTAAAATATAGCTCCACCAATTTATTTGATGGACAGGTTTAGAAATATGAGCATCAGTGGACTACTCCAATCCGACAGTAAAAGACCTTGATAAAGGATGTGTTTGTTTTGCAATGCGTGGTGTATAAATACGGAGCCAGGTCAGGTCTGAATTGAACATTAAAATGTATATAAGAATCCTTGCAACAACCCTTTGAATGGTTCGTAAGTGACATGTTGAAAGGAAAAAAAAACCTGACAATATCCAACATTACATTTGCAGTTTAAATTTCCCACACTTTATCCCGAGTGACCTACCGCGCAGAAATCACATATTTTCATAATTGTTAGTGTGCTCTTGTCCTGAATATACATTTAATGTTGTCACTTGACCTTTCATTGAAATGTTTGTCAAAAGGATTTTTGTTCAAATTACTGTCAGGAAACAAATTTATTATGAGAAAACATGAACATGTTTAACTGGACTTGCAATCAAAAACGAATAACAACATATATCTTAAATAAATACAGTTTAATTCATATAACTATAGACTCAAAACACAAATTAACAAAAAGACAAATAATTGAGAATCATCTTTGTGTTTCTCCAATTTTAACTTTTAAGAAATTCTATTTTCGGAGACGTAAAAAAAAGACAGAAGATGCCAAAATCAACAATGATAATAATTCCAGTATAAATATACATTGCCATGTCCATAAAGATATGAAATATTAACAAACCATAACGCAGACAACTACGGATTAAGCATTTAAAACCCATCTAGCTGCTTTCATTTTTGAAATATAAGCCAAAAACTGAATTCTAACATCTTATGTTCTACTTTTAACATGTTTTTTGATGTACAGTTTTTAAACTAGAACATTCAGGTAAGTTTGGTAGCATTTCAGTAGTTTCAGAATTATGAAAAACATTATGAGACGGACGGACAACGACGACGACAATTGACGGACAACGACTGGCGCCCTTTGAATAACCCACATAACCCTTTGGGTCAGGTGAGCTAAAATAAAATTCTTATTGTAGCCATTAACTGACTTATATTTGGTTATATGGCATGTCTCAAATCTTTTGAATGAACAAACTCTCCGAAAGATATCGTAATCATTAACGTGTCGGATGCCTAAACCTAGACGCGATCCATCAACAAACACTCAAAAATAAAACATTTCCATTCTCCTTAGATGATTCATTCGTCTTATAAATTTTCAAAACTTTGAACTACAAGTACAAAGTTTTTTTATTTGAATTTGATTACATCAAGGTAGGAGAATGTCCCCCAAATTGTAGATTCTTGAACAGATATATTAGCGCCTTACCAGAAATCGACTCTAAAAGTAGTGTCACGACTTCATTAGCATGCAACACATGATAGTTAAATTATAAATATTAAATCGTGAAATAGACGTTGAAACGGCACATGTAGTAAAATCACATTTTTTAAGATCACAAATGAAATGCAGACATCTAAATATAAGTTACATGTAAATGGTAGATCATGAAAAGTAAAACAATGGTATAGTTAAGTAAATAGAAAGGGAAGTAAGAAGTAAGGAAGCTAGATATGTGTTTTCTTTGAATAAGTCACTAAACAGATTACAGCTACATTTAACCTTCATGCGAAACTTCTAATATATATCAAGTCATCTTATCATTATTATAGTTTTCATAAAGGAAACTCGTGTCATTTATCTCCCTAACGCAATTCTGGCTCCCATAATGCGTACACAGACCAATAAAAAAAATTAAATGTTAGAAATACAAAAGGAAAGATAACTCTAGAAAGTTTATCAACAATTCTGGCTTTTTCTCTGTTTGTTAGACTCCTTTTTACAAATAGGATAAAATCTGCCATCTTGTCTCGATTTATCTACAATAAACAAAAGTTGTATTGTGTTTACAATATTTAATAATTATAACATGTTTACTATATATATAATGTTGCAAGAATTTAAAGTATGATTACACAAAATGTATTTTTGGACTATTGTTAAAAATTCTGAAAATTCTGTTTATATAAGATTGCGTGAAATAAAAGCGTATATATATAAACCAGGTTGTATAACAATTAAGAACATTTTCTTATTCACATCTGAATGTCAATGAATTCGAAAATGGAAGTCTGCGCAATAATATCAGAAGACAGACGAACTTTCACTAAAGCCGTTATAGTAAAGTTGAATAAGCATGATTAAGCCGGGAACATGATTTGAAGCCCATTTTCAGTTATTAAAAAAAACAGTGTTTATCAAAGTTTCTGTATATGATAAGTAATCTAGTGAAATCTGGGTGATTCTAGAAATGAACTAAAAAGATGGTTACATGGCTTTTGGATTTCACCCAGGAACGATCAACTGTAATCAAGTATAAAGTACTATTTATGCTCCAACTGTTATATGCGATTTCTTTGTCATAACATCAAGTCCTTTTTATGAAATGGGTCGTTGTTTTTATATAGAATGCATTGGCACATACAAAAGTTCAAGTAAGCCAAAATGATTGCCTTTTGTAATTTATGAAAGATCACTAGTATTAGTTTGCAAAACTTACAGTTTTATCATTTGAATGTAGATTGGGTTCATTAGACTGTTTTGACCTTGACGACTTTCTGCGTCGTTCAACTCTTGAAAGGACATTTACAAAGGCAAACTCTATCAGTGCTCCAAATACAAACAGTAGACAGACAGCCATCCAAATGTCAATAGCTTTCACATAAGACACTTTTGGTAATGATTCACGCGCCCCGGAACTCTGTGTTGCTATGGTAAGGACTGTTAATATTCCAATAGATATACGAGCAGGTGTGGCATCAACATTAATCCAAAACGACACCCATGATAGAATGACTATAAGAAAACTAGGTATGTATATTTGGGTCAAATGGTACCCAAAATTTCTCGTGAGTGCTATGTCCATTTTCAGACACGTATATTTATGTTTGACTGCAATAAAAAAGTAACTCAATATTATAAAACAAACGTACCAACGGTTTTAAATTCATTATGCTTAATTCTAGTTATGTCATTATGTTTCAATAAAATGAGATAATGTCCTTAGTTGTCAAACTGGACTATTATAAGTATATCTCCTACAAAAATGCATTGATAGTTTTTGCATGTGACAATACATATTGCATATTTATTCGGCTAAATTCTAAGATCAATGGCAATTATAACCAACATATAAATTTTAACAATTTTCCCTGTGATAAAATGCCTCGTAGGATTTGGTTTTATAGTTTCAGTAAGATATACGAATTACTGTCCACTAAAACAAAAATCGACCTTCATTAAGTTCACTTAAGTACCTTTGAAGCAAAAGTATAGCATTCTAGGGCCGTAAAATTATTAATAAGGCGAACAAAACAGACAGAATCAGAATCGTCTAAAGTACGAATTATGAACATTATTCTTAGTACAGCCAAAGACTGACTTATTTGTGCATACATTGTACATGTAGCAGGAGACTTAAATTCTGTCGACGCACACAGTCTAGCTCCTTTTGAAGTTCATACGAACCCCTCAGGTTTTTTGTTGTCGTGATTTGTCTTCTTAATCGATTGGTGAGATTTGAACCATGTATAAACAATCATTTCCGAACACTAAATAATAACAAGATATTACATAGATAATTCCATTGACTTATACTTGTTCAACTTGAACTACACGAATACAATGTTTTTACTTTGTATATTCGTACAACGTGATACAGATTTATTAATGAGTAAGAAAGACAATTATTTTGGATGGACCGAAACAACCATTCAAAAGCATAAAATATTCCATTGTTTATAATTCTTTTTTTCCAAATCATTTTGTCATCTTTCTCGTTTTTACTTAGACATGTATTAAATTCTTGTCTTGTGATGCTTTAATCATTATTTGATTATATATATTTACTTCCGTGATAACCTTTGTCACAGCTGTACGTAGTTATTCCATCTAACTGAAACTGAGGTAGCGACATATGTTTGTCGTACACTATGGGGTCGTCGTTCCATCTATATACGAGGTTGTCAGTAGTATACGCGTCTGAAAAATCAACCAAATCACATTTACTTAAACTTTCAGTGTTTTATTACATGAATGTCTCATAAAGTGAATCTATCCAAAAATTAAGCATAAGTATATCAACACATATCTCCGCCCCTCCTAATAAGACATAGAAAACGGACAGGTAAATATAATTGAACACCGTGTAAAACAAGCTAATAACAGCAAAATTATCGTAGAAAAATACATCTGATTTCTAATATTCACAATTTTCCTTATAAGAATTGATTTCTACAGATACCAGAGCTACAATAATGTTATACATTGTGGGCTGTTTTCTGCTCTTTGGTCGGGTTGTTGTCTCTTTGACATATTCCCCATTTCCATTCTCAATTTTTCCATAATATATATATTCCATAGCAAATGCAAAACAAAGATACAAAATGTCTAACATACTTTCAACTTACAACTTTCTAATCCCAATGAACAGATCTGTTTATCTAATGGATATTTCTGCAGATTCATCTCACAAGAAAATGTCCCGGTTACTCTACAGTGCAAAACAAATAAAAATAAGCAATTATATATGATTAGTGTCAGAAGTCCATGATTTCTAGGACCAACCTAGTCACTGACTTCTGTTAGTGAAAAATTAAACAAGAAATTAAATTAATATTAGTATATTAATATTTCTCACCAAATACTACAAAATTGAAATCTATGAATTCAAGTTTTATCTGTCTATTTGAAAGTCGGTACCATTTACATCTGATATGTTGTCAAATTAAGATCATAGCTTGTGTACATCTTAATAATTTAATGTTGGATGTAACACGTCTTCTGGTTGGCTGAATCTTTTTTTTTCTATCAGCTCATAGACATAACTTTGTCATAGGAACGTGTCGTCATCAACTTTTTTTCATGATTTACTCCTTAAAAATGGAATTTTAGAATTAAATTATAAGGACTGGTTGTAATATTTTTTCTGTCTATTCGAAATAACCTACAAAATGTGGTGCACGCGTAGCGGGTTATTCAGTGTGCACCACATTTTTTATTTTATTTCTTCGTAGACAGAAAAAATATTTCTCATTCCTTAAATTATATTATGCAATTTCGATCATCACGTGGCTAGTTGGAAAAACAAATGTTTGATAAAATCCGTTACTTGGCCCCTCATGCCCCTGAAATCATATTACAAATATAATTTTTCATAGATCAACTCTTTCAAAAGTATGTTAAATTTGGACAATTCAGTGCAATTTTTAATAGTGATGTCAAAATTGATCTTTAAAGGCAATTGTACAAATTGTGTTTCTACAAAATATATATAAAAGCTAAAGCCTTATCCCAAAATACACTATGTGTAAAATAAATCTTGTAACAAACTATCTTTTAGGATACAGCTTTCAAATTGGCTTATATCTAAATATAATAATGATAAGTTCTCAAACTGAGGCTATTTTAGAACGTTTCCACCTAATGCCAGAATTTGAAAGAATTTGAAGCCCTCGTATAAAATGGAAGACTACACTAAAAAATTTAGATGCTGATAAATCTGAAAGACAGCTCTGAATAGTGTCTTATGAACATCTGAAGGATGTTATTTAGCTAAATTATAAAAATTTTTAAGTTTTCAAATTCTAGAGTAAAACATTTGCTTTCTAAAATCTTCTCCTTCACCTACCTGGTCAATTTAACTTAAACAAATGTCTGCCTGTTTCAAGTTGGTAATATTGACAGCGTTTGTATAAGTCATAAAACCATATTATTATTACATGTACCTCATACTGTAAAGGATATTTCCATTTGGATAAATATGCATCAGCATGTTAGGAACTGTGACGTGATGAATATCTGCTTTCTTTTCATTGGTGATAAACATATCTGGTACCCAGACGTTCTTCATTACTTTAGTATCTAGCTCTAAACGTGAGACACCAATAGTGTTATTATATTTTAGACGAATGTCGGTCCATCGTTGACGGATAAACATACTAACTGAGAAGTCCTGAAAAGTGTTAGAATAAATGACATCCAATTAAATCAAATTTTTAAACTTCTCCTAAGAATTGACCGGAATATATGAAAGTAATTGTGTCTAATAATGATCTAATATAAAAAGTAGAACATATGAAGTAATTGTGTCTAATAATGATATAATATAAAAAGTATGTTATAATTAACTTTTGAAATTTCAAATTTATATATTATAAGAATGGTGATTCCGTTTCAAATACTTCCTGTTGATTCTGTTGATGAGTTTACTAGAATACATGAATTTTTCCAAGTACGAGGACTCTTATGTTTTGCTGCTCGGCTTCACCTGGTATTGTAGACATTGAGATATAAACATGATCATGACGAAACAAGATTTATGAACAAATACATCTATCGTATTTCTTATCTTTTCCGATCATGACAAGTGAAAATGATCTTACCATCGATGAATCGTTGATTGTATCAATGCTTAAGATATACAACTGTATGGAGCTTTCCACTGGGATTTCTGTAACGAAAAATAGATAAAGACTTACAATTTCAAACCTACATGTAAAACAACCCAGAAATAATGGTACATGTATTGACACCCTTATTTAAGCATGATACCATGATACCAAAACCTTGACAAAATTTGTTCTTAACTATGACTGTTAAAAAAATCTTGATTTTCTTTGTTTTATATCAATGTTTAAACATATTTGAGATTTCAAAAGTATACATATATGTGGACAATCAAGCAAATTTACAAGAAGCTTGAGTTCCTCTAAACTTTGTTGGTTGTTTTACTATGCTTGATGTTTTAAAACGGGAAACAGCACTCCATTTAACGGAGTCCCTTAAGTGCCATGTACATATAAACATTTTCATTTGCCGGAGATTTAATCTCGAAAAATGGTGCGGACGACTTTAAAACTAGTGCGGACGACCTTTAAACTGGTGCACACGACTTCGAAACTCGGTTGCACGGTTTCGCAACTCGTGAGAACGACTTTCAAACTCGTGCGCATGACATTTTAAAACTCGTACGCACGACTTTCAAAAACTGGTGCGCATGACTTTTAAACTCGTGCGCATGTTCGTATAGAGTTAGTCAAACTTTTGTGTAATAGCCGAGTGTTCGAGTTTGAAAGTCATTGGCGCCATTTTTGAAAGTCGTATGCACCATTTTGAAAGTGCACACGAGTTTAAAGTCGTGGGCTCCAGTTTTTTGAAATTCGTGTGCACCAGTTTTAAAATGTCGTGCGTACGAGTTTGAAAGTCATGCACACCAGTTTGAAGTCGTGTGTACCAGATATAGCCAATGTGACAATTAATAACCCAACGACACAAACACTAAAAGACATCTGGAGGTTATAATTTAATAATTTCTTCGGTAAAAAACTTACCTTCCATAAAGTTTGGAGGAACTGTTGGATCATACTTTTCAAAGATCTGTTCCATAATATTCTTCCTAAAATAATGGAAGCTTTTAATACAAAAGAAAGAAATCAAAGCTGATCGTTTCAAAATTCTAACTACTAGTATCTTGTAACACAAACTCGTTCGACAGAAATACACGGTAATTTACGGCAAATTCTTTCAAAGTAGAAGATGGGTTCAATTCATCCTGCAATCAGCTAAGTGTTACAAATATCAGACAGGCCTATATAAATAAAATTTTTGCTTTATTTGTAGTTTACAAATAAAGTCTCCAGGTGTCCTGCTTCTTTGTAAAGCGAAGGACAATGTTAAAACTACTGTTCACATTACAGTTGGTATCGGTAGAAGAGAATTGATAAGAAGTAGTGGATTCGTAAACGATAATCAACGAGCGACTTTAGTCGCAAGTTGATTATCGTTTCCGAATTCACTACTTCTTATCAATTCTCTAGCTTAACCCTTTCTAGAAAAACAACTGTCTGTTTTACGTTTTGACAATGAATCAACGATATTTCATAAAAATAGTTTCGTTTTTTGTCTTTTTTATTCTATAATAGCTGCAAATGATTATATCCACACGGTTCGCATCTATATTTAGACATTTGATAAGTTAACATAAGTTTAAGATAACTTAAATGGGGTGTTAGCTCCCCTTTTTAACACCAGATTTTATTTTTGTATATACATATTTCATTTAATATTTAATCATTACAAATTATTCAAATTGAATAGATTTTGGTATATTTAATTTATTCAAAAAGACATATATTGATATACAGAATTTATTTATCTTGTTTTGAAAAGTTAAAAAATTTGAATTACCAAAATTTGGAACCTTCAAAATTTATATATATAATATTTAGCAGCATGATTTGGTATATTGAAGATTAAACACCGTTGAGCAATTCATAATCAAATATGAATAAAGATTAAAAAAAAAGTTATTAATCAAATATAATTAAGTAGCGTACTAGATGCCATAAATCTGCCATTTCATAATGTTCAAATTCATGTTGCTTTCCTAAAATATTAAAACTATGTGCTTACGATTTAAATTGAACAATTTTATTTAAATTTTGTTTCAACTGTTTCCGTTTCATTAAGTTAAGATTATTTTAACGTTATTACATTTGGCATATATCGTTCACCGGTCAATAAACTAGTTTTATCTGTGGTACGCATTCTGAATCCCCATCATAATTGCTCTTGCTACGGATGTACAATGCATAATAATGTTGATTTCATAAACTTACAATCGTGCTGTTCATAGCCGTGATCGTCTAGTCGTTGGTAACTTATGTCATAACGGTGATATTAACAGTGCAAAGTTCGAACCTTGTACCGGGAATGAAATTTTTTCATTATAATTTTTTCCTGGACCAAAATATTCTTTTAATCCTAGAACATGTAGAAGTATTATATATTTCATTTTCATATAATAGCGATGATTTTGTTTTTTACTGTCAAAGAAGTAGTTTTAACTCATTTATTAAAAAAAAAAATAACACCCAAAATAAAACAAATTCAACAAACATGAACAAACCAAGATATATATATTTCATTAGATTACAAAAGCAAATTATCAATGAGACAGCAGTACAGTTAAATGACAGTTAAATGACATGTATTGACAATTAAGCGCTTTAAGAGTACTATTAATATAATGATTGATGCAGCCATCGTGGTCTAGTGGTATCATGCATAGACTTTATTGATTATGCAGAAAATACGCGCGGGTTCGAATCCTACACATACCACTCGGTTTTGAGAGGATAAAAGATCGTAAGTTAAAAGTTTAAAGTTATAATATAAGGTCTCTTAAGTTAATACTATGGTCAGTGGATTCTTATAAAATAATCTACAGTAAGAACAATAGACTGACGACAGAGAAATGGGTTAAGTTTCTATAAAAATTAAAGGAAGCTGTTTTGGAATTTCAATGAAATAAACGTTTAAACGCCAATGGTTAGATCGAAAGATAAAACACCAAACGTTTGTTGTCCGAAAATATAAAACTTGTTTGTTGTCCTAAAATATAAAAATGTATACATAATTTTGAATAAAGTCACTTTGTTATTTTTAATGTTTTAGTCTACATGTACCTGTAGTAGTTTTTCGATGGAAAACAAAATAAAATAAATAAAATAAAATAAAACCACACCAACCTGGTTTGAATTAATATCTAAAACATTTAAACATAGTACTTAGAATTTTTATATGGTCTAGATGTAATTAAATATAAGATTATATTTCATATTATGATTGAAAGGAGATGTGGGGTATACGTAAATGAGATGGCAACAATATCACAAAAATAATCTGAAGACATTGTCATATACAATGCACAAAGTCTTCAAGACAGGACCAGTGTCTACACATCATTTTTCAATTATCTTTTTTTCAAAAGCTTGATAAAGAAAAACAAATTCAAATATCAATCATTATGCTGCTTTTTGCTAATATTCAATAGAATTAAAATAATAAAATCATTTTGTCACTTCCCTTCTGAAAAGAATTAGAATCAGACATCTAATTAAAAGAAAAACCCTTGACACAAGCAAACAAGGAGTGGTCGGCGCCTAAGATATCAAATTAAAAAATACACACAGACGAAGTTTCTGACTCAAAACCTATGGCTATGTGGTGGACTTTTTGTTTAACTAGTATATGAGACTTCAACCTCCCTGTAAAACACTATCAGTGGACTACTAAAAAGGTATTCATGTGATCATACAACAAAAATTAGTACACGAAAAACAAGTAACTGTAAATTTACTTATCAAAGAAAACGTGCAGTTTCTGAAAGCTTAAGCCATCTCAAAGTATTGAACCTGCTGTTTGAAAGTACCACACCGTCCTACAGACTAATATCGGTTGCTGTAATTCAGATAAGATTTCATCACACAGAAATATATGATCTTGTGCTCTAGACCTACCTTATTTTGCTAACGTCAGTTTTGTCCCTAATTAGTGAAGCTGCTGGTCTTGTACATGCAATCAAAACCACAAGAGTTATACAAGTGACCATCATGTTGTATGCCATCTGTTTAGGTTTTAACGCCGATTTGTTTTAAAGCTTGAAGATTGTATTGCAATATGAAGTCATAATCGTGGATAATTCAATAGCGTAAATAAGAATACGATTAATTCCATAATGTATATATTTTTGTTAGTTTGGTAAGCTATAAAACTAATCAATAATTTTGTTTTAAATAATAGCCCAATCAAACTGTTTTGATTGTTGATGTAATTATTTATAATCTCTTGTGTAATGTAATCATGTTGCTTTCTTGAGAAGTTTCTATAGAAGACATGACAAACAATAACATTGCAGCTGTATAACTCCTAAGTGTATTTGACATACAGTATGCACAGTTGAAAAGGGAGAGCTAAGCAATAGAGTAACTAGTATCAAAAGTGTGTAACGTTTACCTTATCTTAATCATTATAAATAGATGTAAATCACAAAACTGAAATCTCCTAAAAGTTAGCTAATGCCGGGTTATAACTTACACTCAAGTTTAGTTTTCTCTCTTACCAATTTTTTTTTAGTAATGAAATACAATATATACTGTGAAAATGCATTTTTACTCAAGTATTCTTTGTGTTATTGGATTGTTTGTGGGCAGAAAACTAAAACAATTCAACTTAATGAATTCTTGGAAAAAAGGGAGAAATTTTGCTTTAAATTTGAAAATGAAATTCAGTTAATGAAAAAGTAATTTGCATTTGTAACTTTTAACAGACACTTTATCGCTTTCACAGTACACAGTATGTACACATTGACAGAGTGCAGTTGCTTATCTCATGTCGATTAACATTAACATACCAAAGTACTGTTCTGAAATGACGGTCCGAAAGTCTTTATTTGTATGTCTTCTTTGGATATGTTCATCGTCAGAGGCGAGTCAGAACCAACAACTACTCGATCGTATTGAAGCATTAGAGCGGACCCAGACTGAGTTGAGGCATGTTGTTGAAAGGTTGTCAAAATCCGACAGGTGTGCCGAAGCTCTGTCAGCTAAATGTAATGGAAATGATCAAGAACGTCTCAACAAACGTCTTGAATGTATTACTAACACACTATCATGGTCTACATTTTTTGTGTACATGTAAACGCACACGTTCTTACTGTAAATTATTGCGAGGTTTTTATTACTGCGAATAACGCGACTGAATGAGTATTGAAACGATAGAAACTCGCATTCTGAATTCGATACTTATATTTGTATTAAGCTGTTCCCGGAATCGCAATAATAAATCGCGCATCAAGTGCATTCTTCAAAAATCGCAAAAATAAATGCACGTAATAATTTCTGAATTTACAGTATGATGCAGTCTTAAGAATATATATCTAAGTTGTAAGACGAATCCATAACATTGTTATATTGAGATTAAATGTAAGTCGCTCGACTCAACATTGATGTGAAAAGTCAACACATGTCTCGCCTTTGTGATTGGTTCGTGGTTAATTTAAGTAAGAGGACAACACATAACTACTGACATTATTTAGAATTTTACAATTCAACCATACAGTTTTCATTTCAAAAATAAGCCCATGTCCATAACTTTAAATTCTAATTATAGAGCAAATGTGCAAGAAATTAAAACAGAAAAGTGCGTTGGCATAGGAGAAAAGTTAGTACTTAATCTTTATCAAGATTTTTCCAGCAGTCATTGGATGAAGTGAACTCTCTTTTCAGTTGATCGGATATTGAACAGATATATCATGTTAAGGAGGGGTATTTGCGAAAAATACCAGTCGAGAGAATGTTAAATTTCGCGAGCCGTAAGGCGAGGGAAATTCATTCTCAAGACTGGTATTTTTCGCAAATACCTCTCAAGAACATGCTATATCTGTTTAATTACACCGAATGTTAACGTACAAAACGCATTGATGATCGTGACATAAAACGCATTGATGATCGTGACATTACAAGCGTCCAGTCGGATAGAGTATTTTTTGGCAAATACCACGGAAGAGAGGGTAAAAAAGGCATATCCTTTTTGCATATACCCCG